TTGTTGTCTCTATTCTTGTTTAATTTCTCGTTATTGTTGTTTTTTTTTTCTTGTTTATTTTGTTGTTGGAGCTGCCATTGTTGCAGGTTTTCTTGCCACTGTTGTTGTCTCTATTCTTGTTTAATTTCTCGTTCTTCTTGTTTCTTTTCTTGTTTGTTTTGTTGTTGGAGCTGCCATTGTTGCAGGTTTTCTTGCAACTGCTGTTGTCTCTCTTCTTGTTTCTTTTGCTGTTCTTGTATTGCTGCCATCAAATCTGCTAAACTGTAGTTTGATTTGCCGCTTCTCGTTTCCATCTTCTCTCTTTTTTTATCCCACTTCTGACACCAATTTCTTACGTCTCCGTTTGTTAATTAACTTTCCGTAACTTCGTTCCGACGAAACTTTAGCGACACAAGTCCTTACTTAATAAAACTGGTTTATTCTTTCTAAATATAACTTCACGATACACTTGATTTTCAACATTCGCGCTAAAACAAACGCTATAACGAACGTTAACTTCAACAATACTTTCTCACTGCAGATCAATTTGGTCTGGTATATATAAGATGGTCACGGCGTGACGTGATAATGTGTGTGTAGGTAGTGAGTCCCCCCATTCTAGTAAATGCTAGAGCACTCCCGAAGGAACTGGATAGTTCTAGAAAGCAGGTGGCGTGAGAATAGTCACGTGATCTCGCTGACGCAACAATATAATGGGATTATGAAGTTCAACTTGGTATAGCTTGCTTGTTTGTTGTTGAGTTCAAAGCTACACAATGGGCTATTTCTGGTCTTTCAACCTCGGATATCCAATTTTTAGTGTAATAAACCCTCAAGGCTTCCGCTGAGCCAGGAAGAAACAGTACAACTATCTGTACAAAACAGATATAGCTTGTAATTCCATTTTTTTTCTAAACAACTCACATCTTTTGAAAACAAAACACAACAAAAATTTAATGTACAAAAATGTATGTAATATTTTATGCAAATTGTTGACATTGTGGCGATAAACTTGAAAAATTTATAATAAAATGTTCATTATAGTCACCAGAAGTGGGTAGGTTTTAAAATGCATAAAATTCACAGAATGTTAAAGGGACAAGACAAAAAGAAGCTTATTAGCCCATCAAGGATGTCCTTTCCAGCTCCCAGTTATAACCACCCAATACTACTCATGTATTCATCCAATTTTTTATTGAACTCAGTTAAATTTTCTGCCATTCCAAAAGCCAACCACCCTGTTAGAAAAGTATTACTGTCCAAACTGCAGACGCCTCCTACGTTGCCAAAATTTGAAATTACGTCACATTGTCTTATCGTTTTCACTGCTAAGCACAAAGAAGTTTGATGGATCTATATCATCAATACTCTTAATAATCTTAAACATCCCCACTAAATCCTCTCTGACCCTTCTCGTCTCCAGAGAAAACAAGTTTAGAGATTTTAGTTTCTCCTCATAGGACAATGCTACGATTCCAGGTATCATCCTAGTGGCTCTTCTCTGAACATTCTCCAACAATTCAATGTCCTTCTTGAGGAAGGGGGCCGTATGTTATAATTTCCAAAAGGTGATTGTTGTTGTTGTTGTCATTGTTTGTAATTTAGCACAAAGCTACACAAAGGGCTTTTTGTGCTCTGCCCCCCACGGGTATCCAAACCCGGTTGCTAGTGGTATAAATCCGCAGACATACTACTGTGCCACTGTTCACAAAGGGGAACAAATGCAAATAATAATGTCTACATTTGTACAAATGGGATATGAAATATGTATAACTACATATATACAGTTAAAACGAGTACAACGCTAAAATAAATACACAATCAATAATTTATTAAAACAGGATCCAACCCTAAAATTACTCAACATGTTTCGGTGGCAAAATAACATCGAAGCATTTAGAGTCATTTTATGACTGGTTCCTGTTTTATTAAATTATTTATTGTGCAATTATTTTAGTATTGCATGTATATATGTATTGCATAAGTGTCGTTTTAAATTATATGTATAACTTATAAGTTTTGAGACGGCTTGACTGGGTAATGAAAAACTATTACCTTTATGATGATAAAATCTTGTCGAAACGTCGTACATATATGATAGAGTTTTTCATTACCAAGTAAAGCCGTCTTGAAACTTTTATTTTCTTATAAGTGGGTACCTCGTTATCAAGTATAACTATTTATGAGTCTTTGCAGAGGGCGTGACATGGTAGTGGCGGGAAAGGAGAAAAAATTGTGTGGTGTTTACTTTGTAACTTGAAATGCGAGTTATGTGTATTGTTAAGGCTTTGAAGTTCAATTTTTTGAAAAGATAAAGTGTGAGTAAAAATATGTGTGAATATATATATATATGTCATTATTTTGTTCTTTTGAGCTAGGTTTAATTGTGTTTGATCTTACTGCAGGGTACACTATGAATATATTATTAATATTTGTAATACTTTTATATTTACTTTAGCCTTAGTAAGTTACGGTCTCCCGTCAAATGAAATATCATCCCCCGTCCAAATTTCATCCAGGGGATAGGATTTCGCAGTTCTGCCAAATACCATCCCACGTCTAAATTTCATCCCATCATATATTTCAGCTTCAGTTCACAATGTGTCCATTTTTGCTAATTTTTATTTTCACTTTTGGTTTTGATCAAATATATTTCGTAAGTACCATTTCATGTAACATAAACGGCCTATTTCTCTGTATTATTTATAAAATGTGCTGTTTAAGACTGTATAGTGTATTTCTAAGCCTACCTCAGTACGTGAACAAATGATTTATAATTATACTATATCATATGTTATAGATACTAATATTAATATAATACTTTACGTGATACTAACACTGAGCATGTAACAAGTAACATTTTCATTTGTAAAATGTTATTTAACATTCGGTTATTTATTAACAATGAAATTAAATTATCAACTCTTTTTTTTTTTCTTCTAATTATCATATGATGTTTAGAACTAGAAGGAAATTCCTATATTTATATAGAAAATATCGCACGAAGACTTGTACTTACATAATAGTACTAATAGTAATAGTAATGTATGAATATATTAAACTGTTGTGGTGGTCATAAGGTACTTTAAATAAAAACATGAATACTGAACTTTGGGTCAGTAATATCATTTATTGTTCAACAACACATTTAACACAAATGCAACAAAGTATGATGGGAAAAGTATATATTAAACAATAACTAAGTCACATGATTATTTTCCATCAATATACCATTGGATAAATATCACTTAGTGACTTTTTTTAATTAAGCCAATCTCATGTATATATCTACTATAGAATTTAGTCCAGTTTTTATTAGTCATGAAGACATCTAAAGAATGAACTATTACACCACTACAAAAGACAATAATAACTGATATAGTAAATCATCTTTAATTAACTTACCATTCACAAATTATTATACACAATAAGTGTTTAAAAGATAATAATGGATTTGCCATATTTCTAGATCAACTTTTATGCATACCAAAACAAAAACCTAGAAATCAAATATGAACAAATAATATCATTCAGAACAATTAACAAAATCTAACAGAATTTTTATATATAGCCATAATACATTATATGTTATTTCAGTAAAACAAAAGCAACAACCAACTATTTATATATAATCAAATCACATACTAGTTCTATTACTGTGGTTAACATTATAGTTTATATAAGATAAACAACTTGTAGGCTAGAAGAATAAGCCTAAGAACATAACATTTTAAAATAATACATAGACGTACTAAAAGTAAACCTGATATGAAACCAATATTATTGAAAGCTAGCAAGCAAGACAAAAATTAGCCACATTAGAATTTTAGAATGTAGTAGCAGTACTTCCTTCAGTAGTTAAAATAAACTACCACATATTATTTTATCAAAATGAAAGGAAATAATTCATGTTGTATAATGTTATTACTTTAATAATAAAAAAGTTATATTTTGAACACTTGTTTTCATATACCATGTAGTTTGTGAAATATGTGACTGTGAGATAACATTACTTCAGTTGTATTTATTAGTATTATACTAGAAGTAGAATATCATTTTGTAGAACTTGAAACAAATAATTAAATGTCTATATTATTAGTGCTGTTTTTTTATTCATTTAAAATACACATTTCACTTAGTAATATTCACAAGTCAATTAATAGTATGTAACACACAGTACTAGTAACACTAATAAAAGTAATAGTCTTAGAGAGTGACAGTAGACCTATGCTATACCATAACACGTATGACGTTTGATAACACTTATAATTTGTGTATACTCGAATAAACTTAAGAACAGCACAATTTTTACTGAAGCAGAAAGACCATCTAAATGATAAGATATTGTGGCAAAGTTATACTTAATACTATCTCTTGTGACAAAACGAGTGACAAGCATGGCAGTTGATACTGAGAGAAAGCAGCTATGGTATTTATGAATTAAAATAAGTATACAAACAAAATTGCCCTCATAAAAGTACACATACAATACCAAATTTCTGTAATAAGGAAAGAAATAGCACTAATCTTACCTAAAATGTTTTTTTTTATAAGACACATACTTTAGAAGGATGAGATTTGGCAGACATAATACCTGTGTATCACGCATGCGCATATGTGCTATGGGGATGAGATTTGGCGACACAACAGATTACCCAAAATTCAGGCTCTAGAAATTTAAATTGTAATTGGCTGGTTTCATTTATTATTTATTAGATTACCTGATCTGAAAGGAATTACAAAACTTAAAGTTCAAAACAAAAGTAAGTCTAGAGCCTGAATTTTGGGTTCATGTTTTATAGAATGTTATTATTATAAAATTAACTTAATCTAAGTTCTTGAAAATATAATTAAACTTTTAATAAATTTATATTATAATGTTAATTAGTATTCAGGTTTAGTTAATTTATTTTATATGTTCACAAAGTTAGGTATACCATATCATTTATATTTATTGTACTTTTATTAACAGTTTTGGTTATGCTATATAGTATATCGAACACCATTACCTTTTTAATTTTTTATTACTATACTTTTATTATAGAAATTGTTTTGCATTGTTAATATTAACTTGTGTATCTAGGATGATCTAAGCTGGCTGAACCTTGTGATTGTGAGATATTATAGGGATTATGGCTGAAAATATTGTTAACAGTGAGAGCACCCAACTGATGAAACTGCAGTTTTAATCTTTATAAGTAGAAATGTAAAAAGATATTTAATTAGCTATACTGATTGGGAAGTTGATTTTTATTTTTGCTTTAGTTTAGGTACATAGCTTGCTCTGATTGAAAGTTAATATTAATTAATAGATTGTTTAGGCAGTGTATTCATGATGAATCTTAGTTGAATGGATGGCAACTACCTGTTGTAGAAACACAAGTGTAGAGGACAATGTTTTGAAAGTCTTCCGCCTTTCGTTTTCAGGTCGAAACATCATCCTCTACACTTGTGTTTCTACAACAGGCAGTTGCCATCCATTCAACAAAGTTTCATCAGTATTAATTAATTTTTTAATATAATATTCAACTGAAGTTTAATTGGCCATGGTCATAGTTGGGACACATACAGCATCTGTTTTTTTTCAGCAGAATTTGCTGGTATTTGCTACCATTGTAAATATAGTTACTGAATTTGAGCTAACATTTATTATATGTGTTTATTACACATTAGGAACCATTATCTAAAAATACCTACTTGATTATTAATTTCAACTGGTTCTGTTTCAAAGAGCAGAAGCTAATTTATTTCTTTTAAACAGTGGGCTGATCATGGCCAGACTCTGAATGTGTAGTCCCATTAACTTCCCTCAAAACAAAACAAAAGTTGCATTCAGCACTTTGTGGTTGTGAGTTTGTTATAATTGTAATAATCAGACAAAAGTTTACAGTTGGTACTGTTGACTAGCTGCCTTTCCTTTAGTCTATCAGTTCAAAATGGCTAGAGTAGACAGCCCTAGAGTAGCCTCGCGCAAATATCCAAAAACAAACGTTTAAAAAGTTTTTAGAATTTGAGATAATGTTATTTACACTTAACAAGTTTGTTAAAAATAAATTAATTCAAATTTATGCTATTTTGTTTAAGGTTAAAGCTGCCATAATAGTTAATTAAAAAAAGCACCTCCTTAAAATTTACATGTATTCAGCCTGAATTTTTTGTTACCTTTTTATATGTTTATTCTGAGATTTCAGAACATATACATAATTTAACTTTAAGAATTCATGTAATATACTTATCAGAATGTGTGGTGACATTTCCTGCTTCTGAAGATACTTGACACATATATCCACACAAGATATTTTTTATTATTGTTTAACAACCATGAAATTAATTTATTTTGACATATTGCCAAACATTTTTTGTTGTTTTTTTTCCGTATAAGGACACACTTTGTTTCTCATATTATTCCCTTAAAAATCAATAGCAGGACATGTTTTTGTTACCTGATTAAGTTAAGATTTGTACAATTAGTCTGATTTATTTCAATCACTAGCATACAGCTCATCAAAAAATATGGGGCAAGTACTACCACCCCCACCCCATAGTATACCCTAACCTCACATTTCAAACTGAAATAAATAAATTTTGTGAAATCAAGCTTGACCAACAAAGAGGCAGAAAAATGCAGTGGAGGCAGTCAAACATTGGTACATTCATTTGTGAGCCAATCAAAATTAAGATCATTTATGAAATGAATTTGTGGCATATTCACAGAATAATTATTAGTAAAAATCAGTTAGATTAACAACTTCTAATATATAGAAAAGCCAGTGCATTTTAGTAACACTACATTCCAACAATGGTTTTTATGTCATGTTGCTCAGCAACAAAAGTATAACCTAATATTGTTGTTAGTCTATGTACTGAAAGTATAAAATGAAATGTATAGATAACAAAATAGGAAAAATATTTGTTGATTTCTTAACTTAGAGGCTCCATTGATTAAAGAGGTTTGATTTTATTTAAAACATTGGTGATATAACAGAAAATAGCTTAATTTAGAAACGATTTAAGTTCAAAACTGAATCAGTATGTTTACTTTCATAATAAATTTTATGCACTTGGCTCTAGGCTAAATGAACCCACATTACGTCTGTACTTTAGGCTTATTATACCAACACTCACTACACTTATAGGGTTTTTATGCCCCCCTGTCAGTTAAATAGTAATGGGTAGGCAGTAATTGAACTATTCTATTTGGTTAAATGCATTTTGGCTTTTATGACTCCTCCTATTTTGAGAAATCAAGCCTGACATGACATTCACTGTATTTTATATAGGTTAATGGATTAAAGTTAATGAAACTTGTTTGGGGTTCTTTTTTTCTTAACACACTGTAAAATGTTCTCCCTTGAAAGCTATATAAATTATGTCAGCATATTAAAAATTACATTGTATAATTTTCTCTATTTCAGCAACAACACTTCAAAATCACGTTTTTCAATTTGCAAGAAATTGGTGAATTTCCAACTAGTGGACAACAGTAAGAACTAAGCTCACACAAGTACAAGGTGAAAATGGATCTTACTAATGATGGTAAGCTCATAAGAAACAAAAGGAAGTTGACAGATATGATTTATGAAAGCCATCTCAGGTCTTCTAAGTCAGACCTAGCTGAATTTAACCATTCACAATATTACAGTTATCTAACAAAATTTTAAGATATTCTAAACTGTTAACCCTTTACAAATCTGGAAATATAAAGTTATCTACTTGAGCTCAAACTATTCTAAATTAAAAAATCCTCAATCAGGGCACTGTGTTTATAGTCAATCAACCCTCATAAATGGTGATTCAAATTATGTGTTACATCTTTGGCTTAGTTGTTGAATTAGGGTTATGTATGTATACTTGTACTGTTGTAATTATGTTGCCAGGTGGGATGTTTGTGTTGTTGACATTTGATTATTAATGTGTTAAGAGTTAGCTATATATGCAGGGTTGTATTGTTGGTTTAAGGATGGACCTTACTCTAAGAGGGTATTTAATATGGCAGTCAAGATCTTACTATTTACAATTTGAACCTACTTGATGAGCCACTGCTATAATTCAAGTTGTTTGCTATTTTATCTTTTACACACAGTTTTTAAAGTCTGCTGCTCTTGTGGTAATTTTCAGATCATTTAGTGGTTAAGGCATTGTACTGTGGCAGCAGTAAACCCAAGTTTGAATTGTGGTTATGCCATCAAACTTCGTAGTACATTTACACTGTAGTGTTACTGGTTTATAGGAAGAGTGGCACACAAGTTAAACACCCCTGTATAATAAGATGTTTGAAGATTTGGCTGGATTGAATGATAACATGAGAACTAGTGCAGAAGAGAAAAAAACAAAAAAAAGTTTGAACACAAATAAACACTTTATTTCACATATAATGTTTTACATGATTTCTAGGAACAGGAGACAAATAAAATAAGTAACATAAAAATATATGTAAAGATTGAAAAAAGTTAACTTATATGCTCAGCAGAAGGGTTGAGTAAAAGATTAACACACAAACAAAACTTCACTGGCAAATCTTGGTTCTCTCAAAAAGGCAAACTTTTTCTCCTCGAGGGTCAGCATAAATCTCCTCAAGAGCACACAAAACTGCATGTACAAAGCATGTTCTCTCTCTAACTGACAAATCAGAAAAAAGGAGTATCAAAATGCAGAAATATATATGCTGCATGTGACATCCATAAGGTATCCTCCAAATAAAAGGTCAAGCAGAACACTGCAACTATCTCATGAAACAACAGATAAGTTCTTTGACCACACAAGCTACAAAAAGTAACACTTCAGGCTGTAATTTATTACATGACCTCAACTGGACATAAAGAGTTCCAGGATTAGAACTTAAGATAATCATGAATTTTGTATATAAGAAAGCTACATGTTGGGAGAGTAAAATAGGTAGTATGTATATAATACACTTTCAATGTGATCATTATTAAAAATAATAACAAAAGCTCCAAAAAGACTATAAGAATTCCATTAGCCTTGCATACCTAGTCATAAAACTATCTGTTTGAATTATTATCATTCACTGTTTTTCCAACAACTTTGTTTTCAAGCTATATTCCCTTTTTCCAGTGTTATAAGAATCATTCTTAGTAATTAACTTGTGTCAGATCTTGTCAAAATGAACATACAAATGGATGCCTTTGTACAATAAAGAAGTGACTTAATCTGAAACTAGCAAATGGTGAAAGAAGAAAGCCTGTTCATTGAACCTCTGTAGCATTAATGAAAATCAAAATTTTATGTTCATTATCTACATTATTCCTAACAACAGATTTTCAAAACCTTACCTCTAAAAATCAAACTAATTTATGTTTTTGTAGATCAAACTTTTATCAAATGTGAGAGTGATTTAAGATATGTAAGTTGTGAAGATAGACTCATCTTGTGGAGCATATATATATACTGTGGTGTCTTGAAGCACTGTATAAAATTGTTTTTCTGTTAAACTAGTTTGACACTGAAAACTGTGTATTTGATGGTATGGTAAGTGATGAGAAAATGCCAGCATTTTTTAACTTTATTCAGCTGTAGAGTCCATTTTATTCTTGCTTTTTCAAACACAGTTGTATAAAATTAGTGTTCAAAAATGCTAAAATGACTGTAATCATCTTAATTTTATGTTTGTTTGTTTTCTACATGACAGCACTCTCTCCAGACAAAACATAAATATTTTCTTTTTTATTTCTGTTGATCCCATTTACCTAAAGTGGTGTCAATGTTCTTTTACCTATGTATTTCAGTGATATGCTACTTGGAACTTAACTCTGACACTCAGTTTTGGTTACTGTTCTTTCAAGTCCTTTAAAAATTTAGTGATTTGATTTCAGCATAAAGTCCAAATTATTAAATTCATTCAGTTGTTCGAGGAAGTTTATGTTTGCATGAACATTTTTCAAATAGAAGTTATGGAATGCGCACATCTTTGAGGAATAAGAACATTATCATTTTTACTGTTCCTAGACTCAAAGTAAAGTGTGTGAATAAATTGTATAGTCTAAAATATAATGTTTTTACTGTTGAACAGGATGCATAGAGTTTGTCTCTGAAGTTCGTTACATCTTGTAAATTTGCTTAGATTGTTTTAACAAATGTGAAACAAACCTCCCAGGTCTTTATGATTTACAGCTTCTTGTATGCTTACAGTGGAGACTTGTATGGAATATTTTGAATTTCTTTGGATGCTGAGGAAGTACCAAATTATTGGAAGATTATCTTACCATTAGCAAATCCAACTAAAGATATGTTCAAGCCAAGAATAATCAATTAATTGAAAGGAAAACAAGTTAACAAAATTACTGCAACTTGATAATGAGTATAGCTTATATGCGTGTATGTTTTAAAAAAAAGTCTCACTGTAGATCAAATATGCACATTTGTATTATGAAGAAACTATTTTGAACTCTAAGATGTTTTTCATGGTTATGCAGATTTCTTTGGTTGTAAATATATTTATTATTATACAGACCTGTCATTTAATTTACCAGTACATGTATTTGAATTGCCTAAAAATTTGTTATTAGGGAATTAAACAGTCCTTTTTATACATCTATTGCTTCAAAGGAAGGTAATTCAATTTTAAACTGTAAACATTTAAATTTGAATAAATAAATAATTAAATAATGAAGTTATTTTGTATACACAGATCATGACAAGTAAAAAGAAGAGAAATACTGAAATGATACATGAAAAATTTCTATATCAATCAACATACATATACAACTTCTCATTGTATTGCATTGTTTTTCTGTACAGGTTTAGATTTGGAAGAACTTGTAGAGCTCTTGGATGCAGAGTCAGAAGAACAGAGTGAAAAGACAATGAGAAACAGTTCCTCATATAAGGAAGATGTCCTGATTTCAGCAGAACAGACTGATAATATAAATGATAGATTGCAAGCAGAACATGATGTTCAAACTTTGCCTTCTACTTGTGACATAAATAAAAACTATAATGAACTTGAAGAGGAATTAAGAAAAATGAAGGAGAAAATGCAACTTCTTGAAGCTGAATTAAGCCAAAAGAAGATGAAGGAAGAGGCAACAGTTGGTACAACTTCACAAAATTCCATTGTTGATATATCATTGTCTTCATCAACAAGAAACATCATGCAGAATAAAAAATCATCTCCCAAACAAAATAACTTTCATCCAAATATAATCAAGGACATTTCACAAAACATATTTGAACCTAATCATCAAGTTCAAGCTTCCTCAAAAAATGGTATTACTTCAAAAATTGTAACATCTAGTAAAACGTCCATGGCAGAATCTATAAGAAGTACTAGTGAAGTTCACACAGGTGATACAGACAGCTCTGATGATGAAAGTAACCGTTATCCTACAGAAGTTAAACAGCTGACAGAAACAGGACAACTGATTAAAAAAAGAATAGCCCATATGCCAAGACAGGAGAATCAAGCAGCACAGAAACCATCTTGTAAGTTTGATTTAAAAAAGGTTGAAATTACCATAGTTTTTTCTGTAAGTTCAATTGGATTTCATATCAACCACTTTCCAAGAAACTTTTATTTTTCTTGCTTGATATATTTTCAAGCATTGCTATTTCAGTTTCCCTTGTAAAACACTTAAATTTTCTTAAGTTTGTGTATAAATAATCATGAGTAACAGGTCAAGGCAAGGTGTTGTTATCTTTGTTTCTTCTGCTAGACTTAGTTTGGTAATAAATGTATTGTTACGACAGTGGAAGTCATGTGATGCTGGTAACATGTCATGAGATTCTCAAAGGTTCTTGACTTTTCCTGGCAACTCTAGTCTTTTCTAGGCCCTCTTTTTTTGTATGTAAGCCCAGCAAATAATTGCAGATAGATAGAGATAGAGACAAATAATAATCGAGTCAAGTGACCAGTAGGCA